ATAATATTAAAAATTATATTTTATTTAATAAATCTTATCTTCCAATTTACTACGATACAAATTACGAAATAAGAAAAGAAAAAAGAATGATTTCAACTACTGTTCTTTTCTGTCACAATACAGAGTTTGCCTGGCTTTTCCTTTTCCGTCTTATGAGCTGGCGTTTCATCATTGGATTCTAGACATTCATTGACTTGTCAGTTGTCACTCACCCAACTTCCCTTTTCTCATTTTCATTTCCTTGTTACTTTCTAGACTTTCTTAATAATAGGAGTATTTAAAAAAAATTTATCTTAAATTATATAATATAAAAAATAATTTTTACACTTCTTAATTCGCATTACTTATTATTTTTTATTTTTATTAAATAAAAATATTATTAAATTATTCAAATAATTAATAAAAAAATTCATCTAATTAATCTCTTCAGCACATATAAACAATTCTTTTATTATTATATTAAATTATTTGTATCCAAATAATAACAAATAAACTACAAAATATTTTTTAACATGGTTTCGAAAAAGGGAATGCCTGGTTGAGAATTAGCATGGTCAAAAAATACATATATTCCTCTAATGGCAAGAAATTAAACTTTTCTTAGGAGGTGGGCTTGTGGTTAATTGCTTGGACATTATGAAATGGTAACAAAATTTATTAATTTTTCTGAATAAATAGTAAATAATTTTATAAAAAAATTAAAATATCTTAAAATTATGTTAGAATTATATTACATTGTATATATTTAATAATTATAATTAAACATATTGGTATTTTAATTTTTGTCTAAATTTCTTATTTTTGTATATTTTAATTAAAAAATATAAATAAATAATTACTTATATTTTTTTTTTTGTAAATATATACAGTTTAGATTGAATAAAATCTCCACTAACTAATTACTACGACCAAATACGTTTTGATTTGATCCCAAAATTCAAAACTCATTATACTAACAAATACGCCGCACATCCTGCTACCCACCCGCAACACCGGAGCGTCCTCCCCACGCGTTCCGGAAAATATACCATTTCTTAACCCGGCTGTGTTTTTGTGCGATTAATTTTGTTAAGTTGATTAAAATTATACTATTTAATTTAATTATTATTTATAATTTCTTCTTAAATAAATTATTATAATATTCAAGAATGTTAATTTGTTATTAATTATTAATTTTTTATGTAATTAAATCAAACTCAAAGAATATTTTTTTTAACATAATTAAGTGGCCTTACTTTAAAAAAAATTGCACGCCGTAACCACACCCCTTAAAGCAGCAGTTTCTCTGCAAATTATAAAGACCCGAACGCCATGGCCAAAGCCGTCGAGGAAGGAGGAAAGTGAAATCCGAAGATGGAAAAAAGGCAACACCGGAACTCAATCCGCCGTCATTAATTCCTCTTTCCTTTTTCTCTCTCTCAAAAACCATAACTGGAAACCGCGTTTTTTTTTTTCTTTTCACCTGTCCCTTTGCCGACGAATACAAAGCCCAAACCGCGTTTCTTTACTGTTCTAGTATCTTTCCATTTCCATTTTCACATCAATGGAAATTAATGGTGGGAGTGTTGTTTGAGTTTCATTTTCAAGAACCCATCAGAGAACTCTTCTTGTTTCGTTTTCAAGAAAGCTGTGTTTTTTTTTAAAAATTTTTTTTTAATTTTTGGGAATGGGTTTCCGGCGACGCTCTGTTGAGTTGCTGTTCGTTTTCTGGGTTGTATTGTGGCCGTTTTGTCTTGGGATTCGGTCGATTAATTCCAGATTGCCTGTCGGTGGTGGAGATGGGTTTGGGTTCAGCATGTACGGGGCTTCCGAGTTCGTTGAGGCGCCGCAGTACCGGAACGGGAATGACTGTCCGGCGATTAAGCCGTATGCTTCCTTATGTGATCCATCTTTTGTACACATAGCTATGACGCTGGATTCGGAGTACCTCCGTGGTTCCCTCGCCGCCGTGTACTCCATCAACCACCACGCCTCCTGTCCGGAAAACATCTTCTTCCATTTCATCGCGGCGGAGTTCGATCCGGCCAGTCCACGGCTTCTGAATCAAATAGTCCGATCGACCTTCCCGTCGCTCAAATTCAAAGTTCATATCTTCAGAGAAGACAAGGTGATTAATCTGATTTCTTCCTCAATTCGTGAAGCACTCGAGAACCCATTAAATTTCGCGAGAATTTATCTCGGGGAGATGCTGGATTCCTGCATTGACAGAGTTATCTACCTTGACTCCGACATCATCGTCGTCGACGACATTCAGGAACTCTGGAACACCAAATTGACAAACCCGGCGGTCATCGGCGCACCGGAATACTGCCACGCGAATTTCACCAATTATTTCACCCCTGCATTCTGGTCCGACCCGGTTTTATCCCGGGTATTCAAATCCAGAAAACCCTGTTACTTCAACACCGGGGTTATGGTGATGGATTTGGAGAGATGGAGGAAGGGGAATTACAAGAAGATGATTGAGAACTGGATGGAGATTCAGAAGAAGCTGAGGATTTACGAGCTGGGTTCTCTCCCGCCGTTTTTACTGGTGTTCGCTGGCAATGTGGAACCTATTCACCACCGGTGGAACCAACACGGCCTGGGCGGCGACAATGTGAGAGGTTCTTGCCGTCCAATCCACCCTGGTCCGGTGAGTCTTTTACATTGGAGCGGAAAAGGGAAGCCATGGGCAAGACTCGATTCTGGGAACCCATGTCCAATCGACCGTGTCTGGGCGTCTTTCGATCTCTTCAAGGGCAAATCGCTGGTTGCTGCTCCGTCGATGGGGTATTCCAGCTACTTGAAACAGTAGATGATGATTGATTCATTCCGATTTCCATTTTCCCATTTCGAATTTTTTGTTACGGTGTCTAAAAGATGATTCTTTCATAGCTCTGTACAGATTAACAGGTGGGATTAGGATTTCTTTCCTGAAATTTATGTGTTTTACATAGAATCAAGATCAATTCCTTTCACTTTTGTTCCGGTCCTTGGAACGTTTTTGATAATGTAATTTGATTGTGAAGAGGAGTATCATTCTGTTCTTGTTCATTTCTTTGACGGGTTTAACAATTTCTCCATTCATAATGATTTATGTACTATCCGAGTTGATACTCATTTAACTTTGTGAGTTGATATTTACTAACTTTAATTCTGTCGATACAACTTCAAATTAAGCAAACTAGATCTTGATTCGGGTCGATACAGTTCAAATTAAGCAAACTAAATCTCAATGGAAAAGAAAAGAACAACATTACCTATTCTCGAAAAAAAAAAAAAGGGAAAAAGAAAAGAACAAAGTGAAGAAGATGATGATGGCCGGAGAGGCTGACACGGTGTCCGCCGTCGTTGTTGTTCTCATTCATTAGTGCTTTCAACCACCAGTCCGGGACCCACCGGAGCATTTTTCCCTCGCCGTGTTGTGTTTCCTTCCTGAGCTCTGTTTGCACACGTGGGTGACTAACATTAGTTGGAGTTTTGGTCTTTTCTTTTTCCTCGTCTCAATCCACACTGATCTATTTCTTTGGCTCTTTAATTTCTTCTAAGACGTGTTAGATACTTTTTTCTTTTTTTTTTTTGTATGAAAGACGTGTTAGATACTTATGCTTTGCTGTTTGTGTAACTAAACAAAGTTTTGGGTCAACCCCATTTCGAGTCAACCCTTTTTTGCAAGTGCAAGTCTCTCTTCTTTTTATTTATTTATTTATTTATTATTCTTTTCTTTTTGCTTAAGCCATTTCCACACGAAACAATGTTAAATCAACGGCAACAGTTTTCCTCTAAACAATTGGAATACATTTTTTGTTCGTTACAGAGTGTATTTTCGTAGCACACATCATGCGCAGGAAATGTTCTTGAGAATTAGTTTAACTCGTAAGGTTTCGACTTTCGAGTCTTACTGTTAGCAGTCCGATTCTATTAGTGGTAGACTTTATTGATGGGTTTGGTTCCAATATTAAAAAACCCAACCTATACATTTCTTTTTTTTTTGATCATTTTGACAAGAGGCTGGTTTTCGAATCCGCTGAAAGGAAGGGGCAGTACATCATCAACTTGGTTAATGTTAGTGGACCTAGAGGTTCAGGTGCAAACCCAACCTCTACATTAATAGTTAAGTAAAATATAATTTATATACAATGAACTATACTTTTATTTTTTGTTAGATTTTTATTCACCAAAAAGAATATATTTTAAAACGATAATCAAAACAATAATTAAAATAAATTAAAATCATCAAGAAATTATATGAAATTATCTCACTCGATGTATATATATGAGTTTCTCATTTTACCGTTCAGAGCATAAATTTATAAAATAAAAATCATTAAATGGAGAAGAAAACTTCTAATATTATGAAATTTTTTCTCATTTAATGATTAAGTTGTATACTGAAACAATTTGAAATGACACTTTTTCTTATATATATATATATAGAAAAAGAAAAATGGGAAGGAAATCAGTCAGCCTCCCAGGTTTTTGCGAATCCTGGCAACATCCTGGCCGGTAATTTGGAATGCCTTCTCCAGAACTTCATCGGGAATGTTTGGCTTTGAAGTAAAAATAGCAGTCGATGCAATTTGCACACCTGGGTTTTGGCTGTTGAGACCAGATACAGCCAGGGCCATGTTTTTAGAGTCGATATTGTACAGAAAATGGATCGCCCCTTTGGGAAAAACAAACGAATCGCCCGGCCGCAGCTGTTGGGCGAGCAAGCGGTTAGATGTGTCAACAAAGCCCACAAGGAGGGCACCTCGGAGACAGATGGTCACCTCCGAGGCCCGTGGGTGGACGTGGGGTGGCACTAGCCCGTTGGCGTCAATGTCCACCCGGGCCATAGTCAGGCCCAATGTGTTGAGCCCTGGCAGATTGACAATGTTGGTTAATGTCACGTTGAACTTTAAAAAGTTAGCCTCGGTGTTTCCAGGCTTGCCCAGAGCTGATGTGGTGAAATGGGAAGCAGATGCTAGGTTGGGATTTATACAGGGAACTCCATTGATGAAGAATGGGGAGTTAGTATTAGCAATGCAGTAATCTTGAAGTGGGTCAGGGTCAGATTTGGAGAGACCCACTGAGAGAATGAGGCATGTGAGTGATTGGAGAAAAAGGGAAGTGGGTTTCATCATGCTAGGGAGAATAATGGTGTTTTGGGGTGTGAATTGGGGTAAGGAAACTGAATTTAAATACTAGGCTTTGGACGGTGATGTGCTATGGAGGATTGGTATTTTACTTGGGAATGGTGATTGAGTAGCTTAAGAGGCATTAGAGGATGAAGAAACAAGGCAAGCTAAGGTATGAAAGTAGCCCCACCAGTTGGAAAATGACTGCTGAAATTGATGGTGGAGAAAATGCACTTTGTAGTTTCTTTTTAATGTGTTTTTTGAGTTCTATAACTCGTTTGATCATGATGAATAAAGCAAAAGAGATTGATGGCATTCTTTGCCATCTTTTCCTTCAAAAAGACAATAGCTTTACCTTTTTTTTTTTCAAAAACTTGAGGATGGTGCCTATGTAACTAAATAAGTTCACTATTTTTCAGTTTAAATTATGAAACACATTTTCTAACTAAATTCCCTCACTCTGTTTTTACTGCTGTTATTAATTGAGCATAAAATCTAATAATTAAAGTCTCAAGTCTTAGCAGACAATTTACCGCAATTTACTCTCTTTTTGTACATTTTCTTTCTGCCAGTAATGGAGAATATCATTTTAGTTGAAAAAATTGAATCAATGGGACCACAATGACAGAACTGTTGTGCCTATGCTTGTTATTAAATTCAGCAAGCTGCCACAGCTGGTCTCAAACACGCACTTACGTTCTTTGCTTCACTACTTTTCCCATGTGGGCCTTCTTGCTATCGACTTTTTAGGCTGATCTGATCACTTCACATTCACAGCTCTTCCTCTCTTTCTTTGAATGATAATTCAATGGTTTGAGAATGATTAAGATATGGCTTTAAGAATTAAGATTTTCTTTATGATTTATGATTTATATCTTTTCAATCCAAGTGCCCTCTTTGGTTTGTTGAATCTGCATGCTTGATCTGATCCAAATGCTCTTCAGGTTAAAGTTAAACTACTTGCTTAGTGGTAATGCTTTCTTCCTTTTTCTTTTCAATTTTCACAGCTACATTCTGTAAACAAATGCTTTACTTTTTGAACTTTTTCTGTTCACTTGAAATTGTGGTGATAGTAAAAAAATAAAAAATAAAAAAAAAATTTTTAAAAAAATCATCCTTGGAAATATAATAATGGGCAGATGGATAGTTAGATGTTCTGGTTTCTATTGGTATAAGAATGATTAAAAAAGACCAAAGAAATGTTTGTCTTTGTTTGTCTTTGTCGTTTCTGCCATTTTTTGTTTGGATGATTTGTTTATCATTTAAGGCCTTTCAAAACTATCAAAAGAAGACAAGATTACAATTTGTATGAAAAAGTGAAGTTAATTATGAAGCACAAGAAAAAGGTAATATATAAGCTAAATCACCCAGAGCACCAGCACATACCTTGTTTACCTTTCTTCTCCTCCTTCTCTGTTTCCATTTCTTTACTCTTGTTTTTTTGTCTTCCTTGTGAATTACTTGTTCTCGGTGCTTTCAGCATGATCAAGTAGACTGACTGCTTGTGTTTACATTAGAGCTCTGGAGCAACTCTGAGAATTAATGGGTGAATCAATAGTGAAGGCTTCCAATAGTGAAGATAAGGTACACATCGGATGTTTGTCCTTTTGATCTGTAAAAAAAGACCCATTAGTTTAATTCAGTTTCCCAATTATGCCTTCTTGAAGTTATTTTGTTTGTTGTTGGTTATCGATTGAATTCTAATCCATCATTGCATCAGTTCATGATGTTATTTTGTTGCCATAAGTTGTCATTTTGTTTCTTGTTTTGAGGGTATGCATCATTTTTACCTTCTGTGTAATGTAAACAGATGAGGGAGTCCGTTCCAGTGAATCCTGTCCTTGAACTGTCTGTCTCGTTCGGTAGGTTTGAGAATGATTCGCTTTCTTGGGAGAAATGGTCATCTTTCTCGCAGAATAAGTACTTGGAAGAAGTGGGAAAGTGTGCAACTCCAGGATCAGTAGCCAAGAAAAAGGCATACTTTGAAGAGCATTACAAGAAGATTGCTGCTAGAAAAGCCGAGGTACTGGGTCAGGAGAAGTCAATGGAAAGTAAGTCCTTCAAATCAGTTGATCGAGATCAAAATGGTGAAGATCTGATGGGTGAATCTAATGGTCAGTGTTCTGTTGAAGAAGTTAAGCGAGAAGGCAACTTGACTAGTGAGGTGAATGACATCAGTGATGAGGAGCCAGTCAAGGAAGATGGAACAACAATAGAACTTCAAAGCTCATCTGCTCAGGCAGTGATAGAGGAAAAGGATGGTGGATTGGAAAGTCCAAAGCCATATGAACCAGAAGAAGCTGTTTTGGTAAAAGAAGAGGAAACACATTCTAATAATTCTCAAGACAAAGGGGAGTTGCCACAAGGTTTGGAGAAAGAAAAAGAAGATGCCACAATGATCAAAGAGAAAAATGTGAAGTTGGATCACCTGTTAAAATCACATAAGGTGAATTTAACATGTTTTTGAGTGTAATTTTGTTGTTTATATCTTGAATATTTGCTTGGTGAATTATTGTGTCTGATATATTCTTCTGTGGTTTTGATCTTGTAGATTACTACTCCAGTGAAAAAGGAGAGAAATGTGGCAGAGGTGAAGAAGAAACCTGCATCCCCTGTGAATAAAACGCCACAATTCTACACTCCTCGAACGTCAAAGCCAACATCAACTCATACTACTGCGCCCTCATCAAGAACTTCAACAAAAGTAGGAACTGTTTCATCATTGACAAGGACTAAGAATCCTCCTATGGGAGAGAGCAAGAAAGTGGCTTCCAAATCCTTGCACATGTCCTTTAGATTGGAACCGTCAGGTTCTAACCAAGCTCCTCTTGCAACAACTAGAAAATCTCTCATTATGGAAAAAATGGGGGATAAGAACATTGTCAAACGAGCATTTAAGACATTTCAGAGTAATTACAACCAACTCAAATCCTCCAGTCAAGAACAATCTACAATGCTGAAAGGCCCAAAACAGGTTAATTCTCATTAGGTCATCCACTCTTTTGAACATCTCCCTCATTTTACTGCTACCTAATGGTTCTTTCTGGATCACCTATTTAGCTTTTGTGTTCGCTTTTCTTGAACAGGTACCTTCAAAGGGGGCAGAACCTAAAGTTTCCACTTTGGTGACTCCTCGAAAAGAGAATGGAGGGTAATGTTCTTGGTTCATATTTTCACTGCTGATGCATATATTGCAATACTTGCTTATATCTCTGTAATGTTATATCTGTGTCATGTATGTGATAATTGTTCCCTTGTAATCATATGATGCTTTGACATAGAGAATAAATAGGTCTTTCTTGCTATATGTATGATTTCCTATCTTGAAGTGTCTACTTCCCTGTTAAAAGTAACAACCGGATGAGGAAGTCTTTCTTTCTACAGAAAAGAGGTATCATAAAGTTGGAGAGAACTCATATATCTAGAGCGGGTTTGTGATCTTAGGTTATTTTAGTATCTCAGCCACCTCTGTATGTGTACTCATCTAATATAACCATCACAACTGCATGAAACATTCTTGCTGCCACACTACCCTTTCTATGTTTTTTCGGTTCTCATTAACTTATACTGTGATCGGCTTCTTTATTTCCTTTATCCATCCCATTCTGATTCAGGATGAGTCTTTCTTCAAAAGAAACATCTTTAATGCCCCTTACTGCAGTTATGTATGATACTTCAAATATTTATCTTCTGCTAAATTTCTGACTTCTGTTATGTTTGGTTTTTAACAGATTTGCCAGAGCAGGTGGAGTGGAGAAAAAGAATGCCAAAGCTGCCCCGTCCAACTTTCACTTGAAAAGTGATGAAAGGGCAGAGAAAAAGGAGGAGGTCTGCATTGAAAGGCCCTCTTATTTCTCTTCTTATAATCATATGCAGAATATCTTCTAAAATTAATGTATTGTTGTCTTCTTTTTGCAACCTGCTTAGCATCTTATACCAATTTATTTCAGTTCTCAAAGAAGTTGGTAGAAGAATCCAAGGCTAGAGAGGCAGAGAGAACACGCCTTCAGACCAAATCCAAGGTACCATTTACTTTCTTCAGGGAGGAGAACAGTTCTTACAGTTTTTATCAGGGACTTAATGTTTCAGCATGCATTCATAAATAAATAAAATCTAAATTAAGAGATAGAAACCTAAATGGTGCAAGCTCTTCTGGTGGAGATGTTATCCACGATAGATTTCTAAGAGAAATTGTTTTGACTTTATAGCACAATTGGTAGAATCATATTTTATTTTATTGAGACAAATGGCATGCCTGAATACTGTCTTGACACAGGAGGACAAAGAAGCTGATATAAAAAAATCAAGACAGAACCATAATTTTAAAGCCGCACCAATGCCAAGTTTTTCTTGTGGACAAAAACTTTCAAATAACCATGTAGATAAGGTATGCCCTAAGCCCTATCACTTGTTCCTTCACATTCACTGCAGATAATTGGGAGGTGATCCTCAAATCATAGTGTTATTGATGCTGATCAACTTAAAACATTTCCCTTAATGAGGTGGAGATGTAAAATTATCTTTTGTTTTCCATTTCATTCTTTGTGTATTGCTATGGGCATTTCTGTGATAAAAATTGAAAATGGTGGTGCGGCCATATCTGTGCTTATTATGGGATTTTATGGATTATTTGCACGTCTTAACATTTTTCATATTATTAGAAATATCATATATTTACACCATATCTTAGATCTTGCAGGATACCAAGAATCACAACCTTCCATGACCACACACCCCACTGAAACGTGCATCAAGCATCACCTATCAATACTCAGGAGAAAAAACCAAAAACGTCTGCTACCAAATACTGGAGAAGACACGAGAATAGTGCACCCAATTCAGAAGACTTATTATATCAGTGGACTTGGAATGTACATATGAAAGTATGAGGATCTTTCGTCCTACTGTCCTAGGACATCTGCAATCAGTCATTGTTGAGTGTCATTCTGTATGCTCGAATGGCTGCAAATATACTTACGTACGCGGCTATCTTTTCATCTTAGTATACATTAATAATGTTGTAGTAAATGTAAAGGAGAATGGGGCTTTGCTCCCCACTTCTCCTGAGGGAGGATAGAGATCATGTAAGAAAAAAGATTTGCAGTTTGATGTACTCGTATTGTCACATTTATGATTCAGATGAAGCTTGTAGTTCCATTTTAATGAACCTCTGAATCTGAATTATGAATTGCAATCGCAAACATTCAAGGGAGAATTAGATACAGATTTACTTCACATGTTTGAAACATCAAAACTTAAAATTTACTTACAGAAAGAAACCTCAACAATAGTTGGACAAAGAATTGAAAAAATGCAAAAACATGTCGACTATACTTCTCTCTTTTGCCTTCTTCAGCACTATGAACAATCTATGTACGTTATCTACCTATGAATCAGCATCTGACTCACTGGAACTTTCACCATATCTCCCACTGAAGAAGTGTGGTGGTAAGTTTGGGAACCTCATTGTCCGTGGATTTGAATTTTGAGATTGTGGTCCATAACTAGAATCCGATGATCTTCTCTTTTGCTGGTTTCGAGCTATTTCTACACAGACACGATCGACCATGCCTAGAAAGTCTGCAACTGTGACAAACAGTTGAAGTGGATGAGCTCCTTCATCCTTGGAAACTCCTGCTTGGTAATACTCCGTTGTTCTTCTTACAAGATCCATTACTCTCTTTTGCTCCTCTTTTAAAGCATTTAGTTCTTCCTTAGTGGCATTAAGAAAGCCTTTCATTTCTCTGAGGAATCTCCCTTCTCCATCAGCGGAACATTCAGACAAAACCTTCTGTATCTCTGCTGCACGGGCAGTGAGAGATGAACAAATGCCAGAAAATGAATCAAAATCCATCGCAGCAGCCTTTTTTACACTGGAGAACTCCGCGCTGAGGCCTCCTACGATCGGTAATCCAAGCATTATATATTCCCTCTCCCTATCCTCTTTCAATTCTGAGTTCTGATCAGAACTCAGGCTGCCATTGCTGTTTCTGCTGCTGCTGCGACTTTGGCTGCGGTTTCTACTGAGAACACAGCGTTTTCCCTCAAACCGGACTACTTCTTCCACAACAAAGTGTAGCAGGGTAGCCTTTCCATCTGTGCTCTTGACATCAGAGAGCTTACGTAGAGCAGTGAGCTTGAAAGCTTGAGCATTCCCCCGAGCAGTTCCTGCATTCATCCTATTCCCTGCCTTAAGGATTGCTTCCAAAAGTTTCATGAATAGTCCCCGAGTTCGAAGCTCCTTGCACCCTGCATCAAGTGTTTGCAAACATTCCTTCAATTGGAGAATCTCTGCATCATAGTTTGATCTGAAAAGCATGGCATTTAGACGACTGAATGCAGATGGAACGGTTTTCAGGAGATGGTATAGAAAAGATTCAGCATCAGCAAATCTTGAAGGGTCTCCGGAGAACTCCAGGATTTCAGATTGTTCTTCTTCTGTTGGGGCAATTCTCGTTAGCTTCTCTAGGGTGTCTGCATCCAGACCTTGACCACTAATTAAGGCATCAAGGAGTTCCCGGCGAGAGAGTGCCAGAGATTTGAGGATAATGGCCGTGTTCTGGGACTTCCGGGGATCAAGAATTGTAATCTGTGCTAAACGGCTGGAATTACGACTGTTTCTTTTCCTTGATTCATCTTCTCTTGCAGGAGAGATCCGGTTGACTGCTACCCTTCCGAATAAGGCTTCCATAAGATCGCCATCAAACCTGAAAATGCCAATAAAAACAGTATCAGAATCTGGCAAAAAGGAACTCGTCTTTATGCATTTATTTAGTTCTACTAAAATGTGAGTTGAAATTACCTGAAAGAACCTCCTTCAATTTTGTCCCACACCATTGAATGATCAGTTCTGTTCATTTTATCCCAATGCAAGGGCTTTAGTTTCACCTGACCATTTCTACCTTCTGCAGCTGAAGACTCCCCGCTCTTGGGTCCTCCAGGTGGTGTCACGGCCGGACCACCTACCTTAGGCGGAGGAGGCGGTGGTGCGAGATTTTTCCTTCCTGGGATTGGTGGAGGTGGAGGTGGTGGAGCAGAGCTTTGAATTGGCAATGGGGGTGGTGGAGGTAGGGCTTTAGGAGGTGGCACTGGTGCTCGAGGAGGAGGAGGAGGGATTGGTGGTTGAATTGGGGCTTCTTGCTTTCCAACCGCCATGAGGGTTATTCCGGCAGACGGCCGAGGAAGGGCGGGTGTAACTTTAGTGGAATCATCATCATCCACTGGTCGAATTTTAACGTGGGAGGTTGAAGATTTCCCTCGAAGCAGGGGAATTTCCTGTGTCGGCCCCACCTTCCTCCGCCTGTCCCTGGGAACAAGTCCGCCTTCTTCTTCTTCTTCCTTATCTTTCGCCCCATCAAAGTTCTGTTTCTGAAGCCCATTTATGTTGTTCCCCTCTTCCAGATTTCTCCAATAAAGCACATCCAACCCATTTTCATCCACAATCAACCCCTTCAAATTCCCATCATATCTTTCAAACTCATTCCGAGTCACCACAAACTGACCCGCATTTAACCCATCGCCGCCGCCACCGCCACCGCCACTGCTGCCCTCCTTTTTCCTACGCTGCGAATACTTCCTGACTAAAAAGAAAAACACCGCCGCAACAACCAAAGTACTCGCCGCAGTTGCCACCACTGCTCTTACAATAGCTCCTCCATTCGAGGACGACCCCCGTGATGGTGATGGCGGCGGCGGTGATGGTGGCAGTGGTGATGGCGGCGGTGGTGATGGTGGCAGTGCTGATGGCGGCGGTGGTGATGGCCAAGATACAGGAGGCTTTGCTCGGTCTGCAGGTGCCGGCGCAGGAGACTGATCTAGAGGAGGATAGAAAGTTTCAATATTCTGAGGAAAATCTTGGCAAATCGAAAAGGGTACGACCAAAACAAGAAAGATAAACACCACGTCTCGGAGAAGAAGGAATGGCCGGTAAATGCCCGCCATGAAAGATTCAGGTTACGAAGGAGAGAAAAAAGAAATGCAATCGAAACGGAATCAGTTTGGTTTTCAGTTTGGTTTCCTTTGGATTCGACTGAATTGAGATTATGAGTTTGGGATGATAACTGGGTTTGGTAGTCCAAGTCTGCTGACAGTTTCAAGGAGTAGTTATTTTGTTTGTTATTACAGTGCTCTTTCCCGGGCTTTTCCTTCCCACAAAATGACCAAAATAACCTTCACCGCGTTATTATTATTATTATTATTATTATTATTTTATAAATTACAATCATACTTACCATACTAAAAGAAAATAAAAAAAAATATCATTGGAAACTTGAACTTTTAATTTGAGATGATGTTCCCATAAACAATTAAATAATAAATTATTTGTTTTATGCGTGAAGAACTTTATCGTGGGAGATAAATTTAAGGTGTATTTAAATTTCCTTTACTTCAATATGTTTTTGGTTTTTCAAATTTGCAATTTTAAAATGGAATTGTTTACCATTTCAAGACAAAAATCTTTTAAATAAAGCTGTTGAATGGGTATCATATATGATCTTGAAATCTTGATAGGTTTTAAATTTAATTAATTAATTTATGTAGCTGTTAAAAGGTGAATCCTCAGGGGCAATCTAGAACTTAATTGGAGTTTTATAGTCTTTTTCCTGTGGGAATGAGTGAAAGTCAAAAGGGAAGAATGTATCAACTTTTAGGTAATGTGATTGTTTGCTGTGTAAGGCTGCCCCTCCTGAATGTCGACTTTTACAAAGTCAATAAGGTCATACACTGCTAAAACAAGGTCAAATATGGTATAATATGGAAACTGTTAGTACATAAATTTGAAATTTTCCTTGCAAAGTCTTGGGTTAAATGTGAATGGCTTAACATTTTTTCTTATTCACATACAATATTTTCTTATCATAAAATCTTGCAATCTTCCATATTAGTAATTAAGATGAACTATTGTTATTTATAAGGAACATTACATATATATTCCGGCTTCACAACTTCAAATCACGTGATTATGGTAAAATATAACTTTATTATAAGAATAAATTATTAGTGCAAATCAACTCCCTCGTATTGATATTTTGTTGGGGATTCAAACATATCTCTTCTAGAGATATAGTAATATGGAGAAAACAAAATTGTTTCAAGCACCGACAGAACCAGAAGCATCCCTTGTTTCAAAGAGAGGAGGGCAGGTTAGGTTCAAACATATCTCTCATAGGTGGGGTACATGTACTTTAGGACCAATTGCATTACAAATTACAGCAAAGCGTGTGATAATTTGCGTTTGATTAGTTGGAGTTATAAATTTATAATGAGTTTGTCTATCTTGTATTTTTAGAATATATGATAAAAAATAATTATTAGTTAATAATTATTTTTTTAAAAGATGTGAGATTTTAAATTAAAAAATAAATTTTGATTTTGATTTTAAATTGAATAAATAAAAAATTAACATGTAATATTTATAATTAAAATAAAAGTCAATTTTATTATTTTTAAAATAAAAAATATTATAATAATTACATAATTATTATTTCTTATTTATACTCTCAAAATACAAGATAGATAAACCCATTTATAATAATAATAATAAAAAAAAAGAAGCTCCAAATTACTCCCAACTGGGCCAACTCCATATAAGATTTGAAACTAAATCTTCAATACAAAAGATCAAGTGTTAACTGTTAAAACAATTTTATAAAAAGACTTTTTGAGTTTGATGAAATCTATTAAGTTTGAAAATTACTTGTGGATTTTCTTTCCATAAAAGTTTAAAGTTTCATAACCAAATCATGAGTTAAAAATTATTTCATCTAATAATAACTAAATATTTCAACTAATACTTTAAAAAGGAACAAATTTACTAATTCAAACCGGATAAACCGATAAACAATATTTTCGTTACATGATTAAGCGCGCTCAAAAGTCACATTACTGCCAACATTTAACTTTACGTGAAAGTCATTAGTCAATACACATATATTTTTTTT